TGGAGATCAAGATTAATCTGAGTATGATTCTGTATTCACAAATGACATATTTTAAAACCATTATAGAAGTAAGACACTGAAAAGAGAACATAAGATTTTTCTTTTTCTCCTCTTTTTAAAGAAAAATTGAAAATATTAAAAAATAAATGCAAGAGATAAAGCAATTAATAGAATAAACCGGGTCATTATTCTCTTTTGAATGTTACTGCATGGTCCAAAGCCTTTACCTGCAAAATGCATACGTTTGACTCTTCTACATCCATATGCTACCAAATTTGACTCACAGAATCTTCTGGAAGGTCCATACCAAGGAAATAATTTCCTGAAACTTAAATTGTAGATAATGTGTTCTTTGTGTTAAATATGAAATCATACTAATTTGAACATGCTAACTTGAAGGACCAGATGATAGTTACTTACAAAAGGTACTTCTATAATTCGGCTTAAATAAATAGGTTCAGTTTAACATTATATATTTCTCTCAAACCCATAAGGTCAGAGTGTAGACTGGTCATATTGGGTAAGTTACAATTAGAAGTAAAACGGATGGGAGTAATGGCATTAATGGAATCAAAAAGTACCATCAGTCAGGGATTCAGACTTGGAAATGAATTGAAAGGGGAATCTCATATCAAGTGGTTAAAACTCAATGTCCAATGAGAAAATGGGCTTACACTCTTTAGACTCCTCTTAGCTTCTCCAAGCACAATATTTTCCCATTCACTACATCAAATCACAAAATATTTTTTAATTGAGATCTGGCTTGTGGCTGAACAAGAAAATTACAGTTGGGTTGTAGTTGGGTTGTTCTCAGCCTAAAGGGTTAAACCCTCATTGTATCTTTTGATTTTTTTCAGTGATAGAAAGCTACTGAGGCTGTGAAAACCTTTGAGGAAATGAAATGCATAGAAACTCTTTCTGTGACCCTGAGCAATCCTGACAACACATGATGCATGTTTGAGAAAGGGACTTCCTGATGAATGTGAAAGAAAGATTTAGAAACAAAGTTAAATGAAGATGGGAGCAGCTTTGCTCACAGAAGGAAGATCAAACACTCCATAGAAAATACACGTTATGGTGCAATTGCCCTCTGGGAGTCACAGGATTATGAAAGTCTAACTTAATTAAGGGAGAAAATAGGTCACATTTAGTAACGGCATGTGTGACACATCATTTTGAGCTATATAACTGAAGAGGGAAGAAAAGTAATCAGAAATACAAGAAAGGCACACAGAATGCATGAATGTCTCAAGTTCATCTAATTCAGGTGTTTTTATTTTGCATGTATGAAAAATTCACCATTCTTCTAATTTAGCTTTTTAAAAGCAGTATACATGGAAAGGAAATTTCAGGTGCAAAAAGAAACAAAATGGCCTTACCAAATTTTTTAAACCAAATTAAGAGGTAATAAATATTCTCCTCATAAAAATATGCCATGCATATTTCTTTTGTTCTTTCTCTCATGTCATCAATGACAGATAATCAGGTATTGTGAACCCTGCACAGAATCTTCTCCTATCCAGGGCTCATTGCCCCTATGGGGTCGAGCTAATTACAGGTACATTTCCTTTGCAAGGCAGTCACACTCTGTACTGTTGAAGGCACAATTAATAATTGAACAAAGCTAGGTTTTTTTTCCCCCTCACATGGCCACGGGTTGCAGGCAGCTTTGCTGTCACACAGGGAGCAGAGTCTCTTCTTTGGGTCTTTTCTATATACCTTGTTTGTAGTCTCCAAGAAAGACTTCACATTATAGGCTGAAAGAATCACCTACTGGTTCTATATTTTGAAAGAAATTTTTAAAAAGCTCATGAAAACAAACAAAAATCATAGTGCCCTTTATAAAATAGCAAAGCACGTTCTCTCTCCTATCAGTAGGAATACAATTATGAACTGTTGGTTATTTAGGTCAGATGTGAAAGAGATGAAGGAGGAGGCTGGGGAATGTAGGGGGAATAGTAGTCTGCCCTCAAGTCTGCAAATGCAACAGAAAGCTAGTTTTGCATGTGCCAGAATAGAATCTGACCCACAAAGTGGGCCTAGATAGAAGACTCTATAAGAGTAAAGTTGTTTCCTTTGAGATGTCTGAAGGAGCTAGATGGAGGATATCCCCAAAGCCCTACCCTGCACCATGGATGAGTGCAGCAAATCCTTGTCCTATGTTCCAAGCCATGGCCTTGAGTAGGAGTCTATCAACTTTACTATAAAGGGCCAAATAGATAATATTTTACATTTTGTGGATCTTGTTGGAATTGTTCAATGCTGCTGTTTTAGAACAAAAGCAACCACAGAGAATTTGTAAATGAATGGGCATGGCTGGGTTTAAATAAAACTTTATGTAAGTATACTGAAATTTAATTTTTATATATTTTTTGCATGTAAAATAAAACTATTTTGATTTTTTCCCATTTAACAACTAAAAAAACTATTCTTAGCTTGCCAGCAGTAGATAAATGGAGCAGACTAAATTTGATACCCAGGGTGTCGTTTGCTGACCTCTATAATTGACTATTGAGAATCCCTGTGAGTGTATCTATTATTTTGGTTGATATTAAAGTCTCCCGGGTCCTCTTAGTCTATGTAAATACAGCCTTTATTCTGGACAACATAGCTTGTTCTTCGGTCTTTTGTTGACTTGAAACATCATAGAAAACCAGGTTATTAAGGGTTCAAATCACATGTTGATTATCATGGGAAAGTTTATGAGAGTTAGTTAGGACTACCTGAACTCCTAGACAAGCTGGAAAAGACTGTGAAACTCTGATTACACATCAGAAGTTTTATAAGTTCAAGGGATAAAAAGGAATCTATCTTTAGGTTCAGTTCGGCCATGGCACATTTTTCCTGAAAAGCCTATTTGCTGGTCAATATTGCACCGAAAGAAATAGTGTCTTTCTATTAATATAGTTCATTATTTGATTATTACTTGAATAGAATCTTTCCTCTTTTCTAACTCCCATTTCCCTTTTTTATCCACCCCGACCTTTTTCCACAAGAGATTAAGAGATTATAAATAATACCTTTGCATAGACATTTACATTAATTAGAAAAGGCGAGACAAAATAAAAATAATGCTAAGAAAACAAGATGATAGCAGAAGTATGGTCTGAAATGAACTTGATACCATAGGCTTCTATATAGGTTGTTTATAATCAATTTTCATGCATAATTTATGCATAGTAATGTATATATTTTTACACACGGTCCATAAATTTGGCTCTAAGTTTGCTAACAGTCAAACAATAAAGGACATATAATCACTTAAGAAAATGTACTAGGTCCTTTCTTAAAAAAGAAACAGTTGCCTAGGAAAAAAGAAAGTAGAGATATTGAAAAACAAAACAAATTTCTTCAAAGGGTCTTTTCAAAGGAAAACTATGTAAAACAATTAACAATCTCTCAATACTAACATTACAGTAAACACAATGATTTCAGATGTCTTTTATAACATCCTTAAGTATGAGCCAATAGCTTCTATACCAAATTGCTATTCAGTAAAAGCAGTGCTTCTTGGGACAGGGGTAGGTAGGATGGGATTGGAGCCAACACAGCGCCATCCAAGTAGAATGTGATCTGAAGATTTAATTCATTCCAGGAAAAAGATATAATGTCTGCATGTTCATACTTTAGACAATCCTTGATATATTTTTTTCCATATGAGGTCTAAAATAAGTATGTAACTCAATGAGTTTGAGATTATTCTCCCAAATAGTGTCTCATGTATATATATATTATCAATCAATAAGTTTCAGGTGTTAATAAGGATGTGTTTTGAGTGACAATTCCTCAGGAAATAGAGGCCTCTCAGAAGAATGCCTGCCTAAATATAAAACCATTCTATTGGTTGGTCCAAATTTTACTTGAGAAATTAATTTGGGTTCTAACATCAAACAGAGGACTCATCTTTTCACACCACAAAATACAGATATGTTTAAAGACATTATAACCAAACATTATCCTGGCCTTTAAGAAATGTCTCAGTTTAGCTCCTATTGTACATCCAGCTTTGAATAATATTTTTATAGTGTTCATTGCAAAATGAATATGTTGTGACAAATCTCTAGTTACTTTTATGAGAAAATTTTAGGTTACTATAAGATATAAATTAGTTAACTTTGTGGGTTACCTACAAAATCAATAACACTTATAAGAATAATTGACCTATAGCCTATGTTTCGGGAAGATTTAAATAGTAGGTTACATTCTATAAAGTGTGTTATTTGAAAAGACGTGGTTTTGCATACAAGAATATGTAATTGGTAGAGTAGAGGAGTATGCATGCCACTGTCTTAAATAATTTGCTCAAATATTTCAATAAAGTTCAAAAAGCAGGAGGCCTTGGAACCTTTTTATGGTGATGGTGGTGAGAAGGGGGAAGAAAGGATGTTGAAGACATTCCTGGGAAATGAGTTTCTGATTTTGACTGAATTAGTATCAAGAGCTGGGACTCAAAATGAGTTCATGAAGCTTACTCCATGTCTGATGCCCACCACAGAACCAGATGCCAAGTACAGGACAATGAAAGTCAGAAACAATTCTGTATTTTCCCAATAGATTTCTTCACAAGGTGCTACAAGTTAGAAAACTGTAGTTAAAAGTAAAGCAAAGCAAACAGGCAAACAACTATGTAAAATTAACTCAGACAAAATATTGCCCTGAGACATTCAATCACCAAAGGGGCATGTATTTTACATATAATATCAAGCCATTAAATGCTTCTGTATTTGTTGAGTTGCCAGAGAGGGAGGCTGTTCTGTTGAAACTGAGATTTTACAGATAGATAGATCTATACACATATATATTCAGTACTATGATTGTAAACTTTATAGAGATGAAGACATTAGCAAAGACCATGAGGACCCTAAATAAGACCTATGTTGCCATTCTCTTGGTGTGTTACTAACAAGATACATGCATGCCCTTCTGATGCAACAGGATTCCAGGAGCATGAGGATCTCTTAAACAGTATATGGCATATTGGAACCTGGAGCATTGCTTACCAGTTGGTGTAAGGTGTCTCCAGGTGATAACAGGTTCAGGACGACCATTGGCCATGCAGACCAAGGTCACGTTGCTGCCCTCATTCACAGTGACATCCGAGGAGATGTTGGAGATCTTTGGTGGGACTGTGAAAACAAAAGGAAATGGAATATGTAACCCTGTCAGTAAGATTAGGCTTGTAGCCGTATAACTGGAAGTACAAATTCAAGGTTTTATAACTCACTTTGAATTTTTGTATTAAGTAGGGTGCTTTTAAGACCCATGCTTGTCATCTGGTTACCAAATCTATAAGTTGTCCTAAAGCACTCCCATAAGGTAAGAACACCCTTCACAATGGCCATTTGAGTGCTGTAGGAAACAGAGTAGTATGATGAAAAAAATCTTAGCTTTTAAAAATGTTAGAATGGACCTTATTTAGGTATTACAGAGCATGCACATTTATGTGAATTACTAATACATCATTTCTTATTGTTACTGAAATTTATTTTCTTATGTATATATAAATAAATATAATCCAGTCCCTTCTCCAAATACTAGCAAAAGAAAAACAATGTGATTTACTTAAAGATTACACTATTGTGTTATTAAGATGTGGTAATACCTGGTTACTTATAATCTAGCCACATAAGGAACATGGGTTAATCGCCACAATAGTAAGCATCTAAATATCATCTCTGTGTATAACAGGCTGCATGAAGTATCTTAGAACTTATGTGAATTAATAAGGCCTGTGTCACAGACAGGTAGACATTAAAAAATACTATTACTTCTAATACTTCTGACACCACTACTATTAACAATGTCATTAATAGCTAACTTTAAGCATTTATTATGCATAAAGCCCTACATAGAGTATTTAACAAATATTACTTCAATAACTTATTGTAATAAATGATATCCTATGAAGATTTTACTTATGGTTGGGAAACTGAGGCACAGAGGGGGCTAAAGTGAGGGGCAGAAAATGAGTTTGAATCCCAGCCAGTTCCAGGCCTTTGCTTATAAGCACTACTTGAATGAAACTTCATCTCTACAACCCAGGCTACCAGATGGCTGAAAACAACAGAAATTAGTTTTTGGTGATGTGAGAAATGAATCCCCGAGGGCAAGCTGTACTGCTGTCTGACTTCCTTCATTAGTGTTCAGGGTGGCAACGTTAGATCACACATTGGTAGGCTTAAGTGGGAAGTGAATTACTCACAAATTTCATCACAGAGTTTATGTACTGATTACAAATAACAGGGTTTATAGTTTGACTGTGATTTTCTTCTTTTTTACTCACTTGTTTAGGCTGTCCCCGAGAAAGTATGTGTCTGGGGGAAGGAGGAGGACAAAAGAGCATGAAGGAGTTCAATAATGAATTTTATTTTTTCTCATTCTTAGTGTCCATTAGGGACTCTTTGTGGTGACAAATAAAACGGGAACATTTTCTGCTTGCAGAAGCAAGCACATGATAGCCAAATGGTCCCTGCAAATCTTCATTAGGAGATACTGATGGTATCTGGGCAACTGACTGGTTCAGAGTGTCCCAAGGAAGAAGCAGGATGAGGGCTCTCTGGATCTCAGTGTTCCACTCTCACAGGGCCTCTGGGTAGGGAACCGGTCATTACAAGTCAAACCCAATGGCAGCAGACTGTGGTTGATTCCAAATATTTAGCAATCTCTATTAACAGAGTTCCTAATCCTCCTTTTATCTATCGGAGTTAAGGGTCATTTTCTCATATTCACACACTGTCTCGCAATATGTTCTCACAGACTTTTGCAATGAAAGCCTGAAAGAGCATATACATTTTATAGAGAAGAATATCAGGCACAGAGAAAAATAATGTCTTGTCAAGGATGAGCCCACCAAGAACTATGGCTGGACTTAGAATCCAGAACTCCTGAATGTCCAGTTGTTTCACTGTTTCGTGTTCACAGTTTCTAATTCCCAGCTGAGTAGGCTAGTGCTCTGAACATCTTCAAAACAACTGGAATGAACAATAAATCAGTGATAGTTTCAGAACAAAATTTGGACATACTACGTGCCATACCCAACAATCTAAAACCTATCATAGAGAGCGACATAGTAATTCTAAGAGCCTGCATTACTCAAGTTGTAGTTATATCTGAGTCGTAACACAGGACACAGCGTAAGGAGAAGAAATACAGAAATGTTCTGATAGAAAATATAAAGGGCTCTATTTCCCTAATATAAAACCAGGCAAATTTATAAAAACAGAAAAAAATTACTCAATTAAAAAAAGTCCCAATGAATTACTACCTGTGGTACAATTGACTCACAATTTCTCTTTAAAGAAAAATAAAAGGACATATAGCAAAGACTGTATTTACATTTCACACCAGTTAAGCCACTTGTTCAACTTCACATAGACAGGTACTGATAAAGTTGGGAATAAAATCTAGAATACTTTAGGGTTATGTTCTGGCCACCAAACCACACTGCATCTCCAAATTAAGAACAATCTATTCAATTACTGAGTCTCAGAGACTGGAGATACAGAAAGTGTTTGTGCTGAATAGTTAGGAACATAACCACGTGGTATCATGGTATCCCACATGCCTCTGGATCACTTTCAATGGGTCTCATTCCATTATTTGTTTTCTTACTTTATTTTGTACTAGCTACTTCCCATAAGCATTTAAATATGATTCAGTTTTTTTTGCCTTTTTTTTTTTTTTGTGACGGAGTTTTGCTCTACAACCCAGGCTGGAGTTCAGTGGTGTGATCTCAGCTCTCTGCACCCTCTACCTCTTGGGTCCCGGTTCAAGCAATTCTCCTGCCTCAGCCTCCTGAGTAGCTGGGATTACAGGTGTGCGCCACCACGCCCAGACAATTTTTGTATTTTTAGTAGAGATGGGGTTTCACAATGATGGCCAGGCTGGCCTTGAACTCCTGACCTCATGATCCACCCAACTTGGCCCCCCAAAGTGCTGGGATTACAGGCCTGAGCTACCACGCCTCGCCTCTTTTTTGCTTTCAAAAGAAATTCCTCCCTAAACTCCACATCGCTCTTTCATTAACTTTTTTTTCTTTTTTTCCGTGACATAGCTTTCAGGAGATCCTGAGACTATGTGTCCCTTTTTAATTTTTTTCCCATCTTACTAACTTTCAATCCTTTTTTCTAAATCTCTTGAGGGAATTGATCTACACCATATTGCCATCTCCCATCCACACCTCAACCTTCAGTGCAATCTGGTTTCTCTCCTTAAGCTCAAATGAAATTTTCTCTCAGGAAACTCACCAATTATCATACTGTTTTTAGGTCTATGGACAATTTTTGTTATCTTGTTTTCTCTGAAGTATTTAGTTCTGCTGATGCTCCTTCCACTCATTATTTTTTATTTCCCTTGGTTTCTAGGACACCAGACTTAACTGCTTTTCCTCTTATCCTTCCAGTCAGCCTTCTCAGGTTAACCCTTAAGCTTATCTTGTCCTTTCTTTTATCTGTACTTAAGAGTTTCATCATTTACCTCTTTCTTCATCTCAATCTATACATTCATTGAAGGATCTTCTCTACTTTCTAGCTTCTGAAGTTTCAGCAATCACCATCTGCAGCCCAGATTTTTTTCACGAGTGTTACACCTACATTTCCAATGGACTATTCTGATCTCTGTTGTCTGCCTCACAGATACCCAAGGTTCAACATAATCAGGACTAAAGTCACCACCTTCATTCCCACAAAACACTTGTGTTTTATTATCTTAGTTAACAGTATCATCAGGCAAAGTTGTCCAAGCAAAAAAAGCGAAGCATGTCCCTTGACCGCTCTCTCTTCTTCACTGCACTCGTATAAAATTGATCCTCAAGTTCTGTGGTTTATGTCGTATATGTGACATAAAAGTGTGGCATAAACCACAGAACTTGATCAATTTTATATGAATGTGGTATATACATACATATATCTATAAACTATATCTCAGATTAAATTCTTTTTTTTTTTGAGACAGTCTCGCTCTTCTTACCCAGGCTGGAGTGCAATGGCATGATCTTGGCTCACCACAACCCCTGCCTCCTGGGTTCAGACAATTCTCTTGCCTCAGCCTCCTGAGTAGTTGGGATGATAGGCACGCGTCACCATGCCCAGCTAATTTTTTGTATTTTCATTAGAGACGGGGTTTCACCTTGTTGACCAGAATGGTCTCGATCTCTTGACCTTGTGATCCACCCACCTCAGAGATTAAATTCTTTACTCACAGTCCCTACTCCCACTAACCTTGTTTCAGACATCAACATTTCTTTCTGGGAGGGGCTGAATGACTGAAATGAGATGTTAAAAATGATTTCTTTGTCTCTAGCCTTCCTCTCTTCATGCTCACTGCCATACATTCACCACACTATAATCAGATATTTTATTCCTAAATTGCAAATGTGAAAATAATATCTCTTGATTAATCTCATTGCCCTCAAGATAAAATCCAAACTTTTAACTATGGTTTAATAGGTCATTTGTGATTGGCACCGCTTATCTCTCCAGCCTCATTTCCTACTCTGTTAGCACTGCATCATCTTGTGGGATCAGGCAAATTTTGGCTTCTGGAATGTGCTCTCCTCACGCTCTGGCATTTGACATTGTATTTCTTCCTACATGAAATATTCTTCTTTCAATTTTTCATGAGATTACTCTCTTTCCCCCTTCAAATTTCAGCTTGTCACCTTGTTTCCTAACCTGCTTGTGAAAGACCCCTGTCATTCCCCACCCTGCCTCCCGCTCTGCTCCTGGATCCACACTTGGTGAAGCAGGCTGTGTTCTTACCTCATGCCCCACTCCTGAGGTCATATTGGGTGAAATGTCCTGTGTCTCACCTTCCCAGCACTGAATCATAACAGCTGAGTTACTTACCTGTGCTATTCACCAAACTGTAAGAGGCACACAGTAGGGTCTTTGTTTTCTAAACCACTGAATCTTACAGAGCATGGTGCTTAGAACACAGTAGGTGCTTCAAAAGTGCTTGAAAACATGTACTTAGTTTTTCTCAACTCTTTACTTCACTCAAGGAAGGTATCTTACAGACTTTTTATCAGAAAGGAGTACGTTTTTATTTTGAACCAGTAAAATAGAGCTCTTATCAATATTAGCGATTCCTTTAGTCATTTATTTCACTATCAACTTATCTGACTCTT